GCTTTCCTGATAGGGATACTCACCATTATCTTCTGCTAAGCATCATTACTGCTGGCACTGTACCAAAGTCATGTAGGACAGGCCTAAGAAAAACAATTCACTTGGCCTCTCTGCCATTTATGTTCTCATAAACAAAGTGGTCAACAAGTAACAAGATGATGAAACTTTTAGGTCTCTTGGGCAGCAGCCAAACCTACATCTAAAGCAGAAGTCTGTTTCTTAACACGTTAGAAAGATTGAAAGGGAAGGAAAATGAGACAATTTCGTTTGGGTTTTTATCTTTAAAAAATTTCTCCCACTTCCCGCTGTGACTAAATAAAATATCCACCAAAGTGAGAGTTCATTTTTTTAGTTCATCTCAGCCTAGTATTTCCTACCCTGGCAAGTTTTAGTAACATCTGTAGTGGGGATTTCTTCTCACCCACTGCTCTCCCCTCCTCATTTGTTTCTCTAAAAGAATTTGTATATGTTTGAATATGGGATGATAAGAAATGCAAACTGTTATGCAGATTTTGGAAAAGAAGAAAATCACAAGGCATCTCTAGGGACATAAACATGCTTCTGTATTCTTCAATATTGCTGAAGAATAATTCAAGTCCCAGTAAAATTTTGCTCTATAGCAGGCTCACAGGTGAACTTTCAGGTCTGATCTGCTAAAGACAGGTGAGAGCCTCCCCACCTGGCCAAGCAGTTCTATAGACTGAGCATAAATCACACAACTATTTCCAGCTCTACCACAACCTAGTGTTACAGGATACCAGGAAAGCAAGAGCACAAAATATTAAAAACCAGAATGATCCTACAGGTAAGAAGACAGTGAAGAAGTGGCTTCAAGGATGATGTTTTGATGTGGCTTGATGGCTGAAGTCACAACTCAAATTCATTGTACAAATGAAAGGTCTGTGTTCTTAAATCTTGTGACTTCCTTTCAGCAGGGCTTTCAAATACTCACCACACACAGGCATTCTGGCTGATCTGCCAGCACAATGTGGATGTAATGTCCCCAAAAAAAGGCAAAATTTGTGCTGTCACGAGACATTGACTTTTCTGGAAGAGGGGGAGTATCAGTGATAGGAGTAGTGGGGAAAAAACATGACACATTTAAGATAAATGAGGAAACACAAATCTTCGCAGAATTCAGCCAAAATTTATCCAGAGGGATGGAGGAAGAGGGGAAAAGGACACAAAAATACAGAAAAAAACATGACACATTTAAGACAAATGAGGAAACACAAATGAATCATCTTTGCAGAATTCAGCCAAAATTTATCCAGAGGGATGGAGGAAGAGGGGAAAAGGACACAAAAATACAGCCACAGCAAATACTAAGCTGCAGCTTTGGTCTTAAAAATCTAACAGGGGATGTCTGGGGATTATTTCTAATCCCTGTAGAAACTCTCTCCACATCTGTCCAGAGCAGTTTTGTTTAAAGAAATTACAATGGCAGTGGCAGTAGAAAAGCCAAGTCCAAAATCAGAAAGTTTACAGCTTGTTTAGCAGCTCAGCAGTTTTCCTCCATTTACTCCCCTGTTTGAAAGAGTTTGAAATCAGGCTCTGATAAAAGTAATTTTGTAAATTTTTTGTAACTTTCTCAGAAAACCTTGAGGTTTACTGGAGGCAAGCACAGTGTCCACCAAGAGATGAGAGAGATGAGGGAACAGAAGGAACAAAAACATGACAAGGCAGGAAAGATGGATTCATTTAGATGGAGAGCTTAGCAGGAAAGACTGGAAATTACATAGGTTGAACATGCAGAGGTAAATCAAGGAGCCCAGAAACTAGGAGACTGATTGGAATTCTCTCCATATAGAATTTGAAATTGTCAAATTTGTCTCAATGCATTTTTGACAGGAAACTCACTGTGCATTCATCTAAAGCGCATAACTCATGTCTGAAGTCTTTAGGCTTGAAAGCAACTTAAAATATATATATATATATAATAACTCATGTCTGAAGTCTTTGGGCTTGAAAGCAACTTAAAAAAAATATATATAACTGCAATAACATGAAAATACAGAAAACTGAGCAAAATTTGAGGTCAGAGATTTGTTCCATACCTACACAGATGTTAACAGAACCTGAAGTGATGACTGACACCCCAAGACCAACTTAAGCCCAGCTTACCTGGTTCAGTCAGGTGTTATTAGACAGGGTACAAATGTTTTCATTGACAAATGGAAATGGACTCTATCTTTTGAAAAGACTGGCCTGCAAAGCCCACAAGGTGCTGCTCAGCCACCCCTCAGCAGAATCCAGCCAGAGCTGTTTAAACACTACTTAGAGCAGGCTGGGCCAATACAAATATAAATTGTGATTAGCAATCAAATACCTGGTCTGAGCACAACAGAAAAACTGATCTGTTCAGTATTTCATCACTCCTGACATTTTGAAAATTTGTTTCCAGAACTGCAGTTTACTTTAATTCTCACTCCCACTCCTGTTCTCACCTTCATCCAGCAAGGAGGGGGACAACAGCTTTAAAAAGTTAGAGGAAGAGAAAGGAGAGAATTTGAAGAGTGTTTGTGCTCGGGCTGATTGACAGACATTGCTCCATTCAGAACCACCTCCATGATTTCTGCTGATGAAAGGGATCCATTAAGCAGCTCTCCCTCCCCTATTTGCTTGCTAAGTTGGTTTCATGACTATTCTGAGAAGGAAATAGTTCAGTGCAGACATGAACTCATTTGGATTGGTGCCCTCAAGCAAACGCAACTCGAGTGGAAATCTTACACATATGAGGTGCAGTAAGGCAGAAGGGAAAGGAGGCCAAATTTCAGGGGGTGAATGCTGACTGTGGGCTAGATCAGAACAGCAGCACCAGATAAGAGCAGGATTGCTCACTTTGCATGACAAAGCCCCAAATTCAGCATTACCTGCATGAGGATCCTTGCTGACTTGCATACCCAATGCAAACCTTCCAGTGAATTCTAATAGTCCTTTCTTGTACTTTCCAGCCAAAACCCTTTTTGAAGTTTGGCTTTCAGTGCTCCCAACATTGAAAAGCAGAAAAGGACTGCCAGGAATTCTCTTATCACCAGCCCTGTCAAGTGCTACATTTCGCTCAAGCCTACATAACAAAACTGGGTAGGGGAGGAAGGGAAGGGATCCAAGTGTAAAATGCAGTAGGGCCAAGGAACCAACTGGCAGAAAACAGGGACTCCATCCTCTGGAAGATAAACCTTATAATTTGTGCATTAATTATAGCTCATTTACCTTCCTTATCCTGTATTTTCTCTTCCCAACTGGATTTTGAAGCAAAGGCCTGAGCCTTTATACAAACAAGCTAATGGATTCTAATGGCTCACCCTGATGCAGCGTTTTTTAATCACAGCAGCACTTCGTTTTCCCTGCTGTATTCAGGGAAGAAAAAAGAACAAAGACTGCATCCACATTCAGCTGTCTCAACCAAACACATCTTCTTTCAGTTTCCAAATTCCATTCCTTCTATTGTAGTCAAATTTTCTCATGCCTTCATCTTATTCGACTCGTTCCCTTTAATTTCAGAAAAAATACAACAGAAATTTAAGTATTTAACAGCATTTAAGAAAAATATAGTAGAATGCAGCAGTTACAGGTTGTTGCACATACTTTTTAAAGACTTTTCACCTTCTGTGTCCCAACTGTTCCCAGATCCCATTCCCATCGTACTTTTGGATGCATTCTGTTCCTTTATCTCTGTTATTTATTTCCCTTACTCTTCACTCCATACACTCCCAGTTACTTCCCAAGATAATTCTTTCTCCGTGGGAGAGAACCAGGCACAGCCACCAGTGCTCCTCCACACCTGGAGTAAACAGAAGTGGTCTGTCAGATTTCTCCCCCAGCACCTTTTGCATTTTTGGCGCCCCAGCATCGCCCCTCAGCCTTGTCCCTGGTGCCCTTTCTCCTGCCCCTTCAGAGGGTGGGGAAATGCTTTCTCACGGCATTTCTCCTCCCCAGGTGCCACTCAGCCTGTTTTTCCTTATTACCAGGTGTGTCCCATGCAAGAGACCTGGTTTTTACCTCACGGTTGCCAGGAAAGGTATAAATTAAATAATTAATGCTGGCACTCCACCAATCACACCCGTTTCACTTAACATCACATGTGCACTCCACCCTATCTTACTCACACGATTTAATTCTTGGGCTCTTTTCCTGTCCCTCTTTTTGCTGCAATCCTCCTGTTTGTGTTTGATCCTCCCATAGACCTCAGCAGTTTGTTCAGTGCTCACTTGTCTCTGCCTCTCTCTACTCTCCCCCAGCACCCTCCTTTTCATCTCAGCCTCACCTTTTCTCTCTCCTCCTTCTTCCTTCCCCCACACCAAGAGTCTCAACACTACATCTCTCCTTGCATCTCTCACCATCAGCATAACTTATTTTCTTTCACCTGGCCCAAATCTTGAGGAAAATCCCATGAATATTTAAAGAAACAGGGTAGGAAGCAACTCATGTAAAACCTGCAGCTCTTTCAGAAAGGTGTCACTTCCCATGAGGAATGACAAAGCACAAGGGTCAAACCTCACAGCACAAAACCAGAGCACAGCATTTTTATCCATGCTGGGGTTAACGTGATCATCTACAGATCAAAGAGGTGGAAGACCAGAACACCTCACCTCCCCCTAGACAAATAAAGCACCCCATCTGTTCCAGGTAAACGAAGAAAAAAGAATGCGGGTCAAAAAGCAAAAAAGAGCTGCTGCTGCCAAGTTGTTTCAATGAAAAATTCAAGTGCCAGCCATTCAATCCACTCCTTGACTCCTTTCAATTGCACCAGCAATGGTATTGTACAGATAATTATTTCTGTACATACTGTTTGTCCTAAGGCACTTAATGTCACCCTTGCTTTCACCAGAGTTGCCCATCTATTCCAGCATCTAATAAATACAGGTACAGCTATGACATTTTCTTGATAGTCTGCTACACAAGCCTACAGAAATGTGTCAAATAAAACCTTTTGTTTCTGAACCTCTGAAATGTAGAGTGCAACTGCTCTACAAGTCAACATGAAGCACTACCAGAAATATTTAAATCACATTTTATTTTTCAAATTCAAAAATAACAATTAGCTTTATTTACCACGTTACACATATCAGATTTAAAATATCATGCTCTATTTAAATATCCGAGTGACAACACTATACAAATAAAATGTTACACAAAATATATTTAAGAAAATGTTTTGGTCTTCAGTCTGAACAATAAATAGACAGGCACTTCTACATATACAAAGAAAAGCGACCACTATTTAGAGTAATTCTTATAAGCAAGATGTGGAAATAGAGAAGGTCTGAGTTTCGAGGACACATGTAACTCTACATGAGGCTTCATGCAAACTTCCAAAGTTGGTTTGGAATTTGAAACTCTTGGGATGTGCACAATTCTGGATTTGCCAGCGCCTTCCAGCAGACCCAAACCGTGCTCTCAAGAAGCAATGTGCAATTTCAGTCATTTCCAGCAAATCAAGCTACCTGATCACATTTAGTGCCCAAACAGAAAACAAGGATTGACCAGAATAGCTTTCCACACAAATAACATGAGCAACAAGTCAGCTTCAGTATGTAGGCTTGAGGCAGGGGCAGCCCTACCTGCCCAGCCCTGAAAAAAACCTCATCTTTTTCCTTACACATTGAGCTCTTAGGGGGCATTTCAAGCAGAATTATGCTTTTTTTGTGAAAAAAAAAAAAAAAAAGCTTCATCTAATAAAAGGGTAAATCCTTCAGACACACATACACTTTGCACAAAGTACTGTAAGTGAAGGGAAAAAAATACTCTTCCAGGGTGCAAAAGAACTGAAAATTGTAAATAAAATTATAAAAAAAACCCCAAAATTTAAAGTCTTGTAACTGTATCATACCTAGAAGTAAAACTACATTCCCCCAGTTTGTGTATTTTCAATTTACAGTGGTTTCCACACACAAACACCACTCAAGGGAAAATTATTTTCCACCATCACAATTGATGAAAGATGCATTGTGGTAGGCAATCCCTGTTTCCAGTACAGCTAACCAGTCACTGACAGCTAGTTATAGCCACAAAGTCTTTTAAAATTAAGACCAATATTGAAACATAATGACCACCAGGACCACCAGTGGAAAAGTCAGGACCGAGTCTTCAAGCCATCCCTTCAAATTTTAGTATTACTCTTGATTTCAGAAGTACAGGAAAAAGTTTACAGCAAAAATTCAACTATTAAACATACCTTCAGTGATCCAAACTTGCAAAGTTTTTTGGACTTAAGACACTTATGCACATTACTTTAACAATTTAAGTGTGGGTCTTGCAAGCGTGTCCAAATCTTAATCATTTCTTGAGGTTTTCTACTATGCACTAACATTAAGTTTGTGTAGGAACAGATATTATTTCTGTATTTCTCTTCGATATCAAATGTTTTGAAACCTTTGTGTTTTTCCGGAGCAAGCCCAAGCTTCTGAAGGCACATTCCAGTATAAACATCATCAATAGGGTAGAGGAGTACCTGGTCAGATGCATTGTTCAGTCTTAGTGCCAGATCACCAGAGTACAGGAACCCCCCGCCTCCTGCGTACGGGGGATACGAACCTTCATAAACGCTTTCTGGGATGTAGTACTTCAATTTTTTCTCTCTGTGAGGTCCAGCATCTTTGATCACATCACCTATAAATAAGTCTTTGGCTTTTTCCTTTGATAAGCTCTTCAAGTAATCCAGGATCTGATTGGTATTCACAAAAACATCATCATCACCCTTAAAAATAAACTGGACATTTGCGCAGCTACTGCTGACCCACTTCAGAAACAGCACTTCTTTCAAAGTCAGATTGAAGAAAGTGTCTCTGTAGTTCCAGAGGAGAATGTCTCGGTGGGTGTCACTCTCAAATTTAATCATGTGTGAAAGGTCAGGAAAATGATCCTCTGGTGGGGTCTGCCCAAGTAAGAAGACCCTTCTGACTATCACATCCCCTGATTCTATTTCCTTGCCCCAGGATTCCCTAATTGCTTGTCTTCTATCAAAATGGGGTATAAGTGACTTAATAGCCAGCAGCAGGAAAGGTTTCTGTTCACACTTGTTTGGCTGATCCATTAGCAATGAGTAATTTCTACACCTCAAATAGAGGAGGAAGTCTTTGAATCTGTCTGGCAAGTTTGCAAAGTCACTAACCTCTGAGTGCACCAAGGGGTCAGGGTCACAGGAACTGAGGGCACTCAGGTTAGAAACCAAGTTCTCTTCCACAGTCATATTGGAAAGCAAGGACAGAATAGGGTTGTACAGCAGCTCAAGCTTCTGTTGCTGTTTGTTCCAATAAGCTTTGTGAGGAGTGTACTTCCTCCAGAATTTGCTACGTGGTATAACAACACGGCCTTTTGCATTCTTGTCTTGGCTGCCGCTCTTGGAGACTTCCACAATCACATAAATAAAAATGTTTACCATCATCAGAATTCCCAGCAGCTTTAATCTTCTGCGTCCAACACTCATTTCTCATATCTAGAAACAAATTTTAAAAAAAGATTTTTAGCTTTCATCACAGCAAGTTCTTGATATCATTAAAAATGCAAACTACTTTCAAATGCAAGTTAGTAGCCCAAAAATCAAGGTTACCTACACCCCCGAAGAAGCAAAAGCTAATCTGTCTCTAACACACACACATATGGTTTGGGGTTTTATCACCAAGCTGGTACAAATGTGAAGTTTCCATTTGCAGCTTAGGAAAGTTACGCAGCTTTTCATGGTGTCTAAATTAGCCAGCAGTTTCTGCTTCTCATTTAGATCCCCTTTAAACACTTGACTGTATAATAATTAGAATGTGAGCCCTCAGCTTGGCAAAGGCAGACTGAGAAACCTTTTTTTTTCCTGCTAGTAAGGTGAGCTGAAGGGTATAGAATAAATTGCTATATGATAAGGTCAGTTATTTTTAAATTAGGTTTCAAGCTTTTATACTTGCACTCTCACACCTTCCAACTACGTAATGGGCAGAGCCAAGTTTTAAAGCACACAATCAGTTTCTGACAATTTCACTTGGCTGTTCCTTGGAAGAAAGGCTAACAAAACTTGCCAGCTGCTGATATTCAGACAGAAGAGAACAAGAACTTGGATTTTTTTCCCCTTCCAACTGGAAAAAAGGAATTCAAACAGTAAATGAAAGTAGAAGTGTAATTATTACTAGGAAGGAAAAAACCTGAAAAGAAATTTAAAAAGGAGAGGTCTCCCACATATGCAAGACTTAGAACAGTATCTGTACATCTTTGTCATACAAAAAGTTCCATGATCCATCTTCAGTTTTTACTAGGGGAGAAAATGGATCAATTCCTCTTTCTTCCACAGCTGACAGAATGCAGGTACAAGGCATACAGTACAAGGAGCAACATGAAAACAGTGTGTTCCTCTAGAGCAGTGCTTACCAAACTAGCCCTGGGGTACATCAATTTACAAGCTCCACAAACAATTCAGAATTAATAAGAAGGTTACAAAGACTATGCTGAAGTCACATACAGAACTCACTGTCAAAGAAATTTTCATGTGCCAGGAATATAAATGATTATGGGAAGATCAGAAAACCTAATGTAATAAAGAATTTGTACTGACTGTTGGAAGCCCAGCTGTGAGCACTGCCTCAGGCCCTGAGGTTACAGAACAACAGCAGACAGGGAGGCAGACTAAGAAGTACACCTTGTACTTGCTGCTGTTTTCTTTTTTTCAGCCACCCCCAGACACCTGAGCTACACTGACCCTTGGTCTCTTATGGTTTCATCACTCTTACTTTATTTTACTCCTCAACAAGTTACACACTAAACTTCCAAAAATTTAGGAAGAAGTACATCTAAATAATCAGCAATCTTTTTTCTCTTATTTGATCCATAACCATTATTAAATCCAAAAGTGGGTGTGTGGGTGTTTTTCTGGAACTGAAATCCAAAGCCACTCCTAGAAAACACGGCCTCTCAGAAAAATGCCTGTGCTTCCTCAAGCACCATCTGCATATTTATCTGTGTATAAGCTCAGGCCAGATCTACTTTATTTCGTATTTTACTTTCAGTCAGCTATGAAGTTTATGTTCTAATTTTAAAGTAATTTTCTTCTGTACTGCAAAGACAAAACCACACTTGTGGTCAGTGCCATCATTTCAGATACAGCTGAACTGTTCAGAAAGCACTGGATTTGGTCACATAGACTTCAAAGAAACTTTATCCTCCTCTTTCACTGCCACTAAAAACAGATAAATACACTGGTTTTCTACATTTATCTTTCACTAGACACAAAAACACTGGAGAAGGAGCAGTGCTGGTTTGTTGTTTTTTTTTTGTTTTTTTTTTTTTTTTTGTGCTGTTCCACAGAGCTCAGCATGAACATCAGGGCTTATCTGCCCTGTCCTCAACAGCACTTCCCACTAAGCAACAAATGAGGTGGTATCTGACCTATGATCCCGGGACCCCAGAGATAACAGGGTGACTGCTCCCTCCTAGGAACAGCCAACAAACACGGGATTGTCAAGAGCTCAAGCAAAGCTTGATTTTTCAGGATATGCAGCACCACACAGCTCATCTGTCACAGCCCCCAGCTTACCAAGCTGAGAGTATTCAACACCTCTAAGGCATCTAGATACTTGACAATGAGACACCATTTGCAAAGATTTTATTTCAAACACTTAACAAAATCCTTCAGCCCACTGTGACTGCAATCCCCTGCAGCAAATGAGACAGGGATCCTGAGCAGAAAAATCCGTATTTACTGTTGGATTTGGTAGAGCTTTTCATCAGAAAAGGTACAAGTCTGGTGAGGTGACAGTGGTTCCATCTCACAAAGCACAGTGAATGGTATCACCACCACAAGCAAATACTCACAGCCTCTATCCTGTTCCAGGCTGTGGATCCACAAGCAGCTGAACCAATTTAATCATCTGATGTAAAAGCCCAAGGTAAAACACCCAACTTTTCCACCTCCTTCGAGTCTGACAGAAGCCATGGCCTTTCACTGTAAATACCTTTCTGAGGGCAGGAGTTAGGCTGTATTTTCTGAGTGGGCCGAGTATCACATCTACATTATCTGACTGCCAAACCCATGACAAGCCCATTTACTTACTGGGGCTGACAAAAGATAAGATAATCCCTATGACCTGCAGGTATCACACCTACCACCCTACTGGTCCAGGACTGAACTACCAGAAATCTGGCAAAGCCAAGCTGCAATTCAGGTATCTAACAGACATCACCACCCTTCTCTCTTTGCAGAGACTGTAACTGGTGCTAGGGCAGACTTGGATGTTCCCATATAACTTCAGTTTAGGGTCTGATATCCCTTACAGCAGCTGTACATGCAGCACCACTTCTGACAGTGCCAGCAACAGCACGTGCAGTAGTGACACTGCTTCTGAAATTAACTGGTTTAGCTACTTAACACATCACAAGCCATATGGAGTCCTTCTAACCCCCTGCGAGATGAATCAGTTGTCTAATAGCTCAGCTCTGTTCAGTGAGTCAAGAGATTTCTGGACTGAGCAACAGCAGTTTTGGAGTGAGATGATGTTGAGAGCCCTGGGCTGTTGTAACGACTCCGTGCTATGTCCAGCTTTAAAGAACTTGAACGCTGTTTATTTTCTAACTGCAAACTGTCAAATCTCTTTTCCCCCCTGAGAATTTTACACAAATCCCCTTTCATATGACAGTAATTAAGAAACCTTAAGAACAGGAGAATATTGAACAGATATCCATGCTGCCCTTCTGCAGAAGCCCGTCTCACACAGCGGTTACCACTGGAAACAGTCAAGGTTTTCTGTGTTCTCCAACCAAGACAGCCTGAAACAATGTTCCAGCTGCAGGAAAGTAACCACGATAGCAACATGCTACTCAAAGCATGAACAACTGCACTGAAATTCAGAGCAGCTGATGTTTGTTTTAACATTACTTTTAATTTTTTTGCATATACTTGCTTTTAGACACCTTTGAGCATATTATTTAGCTTTGGAGAAATTCTAATCTTCTAGTATTTTAATACCAAAGGACACCAGTGAAACTCAGGCATGGAATTTCAAAATCCGAGTAAATATAGCAAGACTAGGGGAAGGATGTGCATATGTTTTCCTAAAACACAGCCCAAGGCATAAAGAACTAAAAAGGGTTTGAATAAAGGCCAAAGTAACTTCACATTCTGTCTCCCACTAGTTATCTTCAGCACATTTTTGCTCAAAAATCCCTCAAAAGCAACACCAAAAAAAAAAAAAAAAAAAAAACAACAACCCCACCAAAACCCCACACACACATCCAAGAGAACCAATGGTAGTGAGGCATTTGTCTAGTAGTGCTCCTCAGATTTTCTGTAATAAGGTTTTAGAGGGCCAGACTTGCATTTGAGCAATGTTTACTTATGTAATTGAACCTAGTCTCACTTTGTCCAACCATTTTTTCAATCTCTCTATATTTTCAACTTCAGTGAATTATCCTGGTTCCTCAATTTTTCCCCACACCAAGAACTTGTAATGACTCGCTATTCTATTACCACACAAGAGAGGAACCCTCAGAAAACACTAATTATTAATTAAAAATATATGACATCACTTTCTCTAGATACATTTGCCATACAAGCTACATGAAGAACTCTCATCAGTCAGCCTTCTATCTCGTCATTTTTGATACAAAAGTAACAAGCACAAAAAGAAATAATTTAGTACTTTCATTCAGTATTTTAAAAATTAAGTGGAGGGTTTTTTTTTTGGGAGTTCTATATCAGTGTAAGCCTCATACCAAAGCAGTGTGTTCTGCACAAAGACCATGAAGTCATCGTGCACCCCACACAAGGGATGGCTCTGGAGTGCAAGAGCAAAGCAAGACTCCACTTGCAGGCTCTCTGACCTCACCCAAGTCACAACCACAACCGAGCAGAGGAAACATGCTCCAGCAGGGCTCCTCTCCAGCACCAGCCACAAGTGACCACATTCCTGCAGCGGGCCTCCCCGAGCCGAGCCTGCCTTCATTAGGTGAGAGCATCATCCACAATCCTGCCAGCAGACGCTCGCTGAAGCCAGCTGCTGCAGGAGCAGTGCAGACAGCCCCTGCAGCCATCTGTGGCATCTGTGAGCACTACCTTTAAATCACTCTCACTGCTACCACCTGCACGGCAGGAGGGTTTTGTTGTCTGGAGTCTTGCTTCTCCAAGCAATCAGATAACTCACGTTGCTCAGAGCAGTCACATTCCGGTGAAACTCCAGAAGTTACCTTGTCAAAAGCTGCCACAAACCGGTGGGGAAATCCCTACTGCATTCAAGCTTGTGAAAGCTTCATAAGAACCCCAAACTCCCTCTCTCTAATACCTACTTGATTGTGCCTCACACTACTGATGTCAGCTTTCAACTGTGCTATTAAAAGACTAAACAGTTATTTCTTTTACTGCTGAATGCTAAGTTCTGAGGAGCAGAATTCCAGAATCTTTACAGTAACTTTTACTATGTTTCCTGCCACCATCTGGTCTAATTTCAGGTCTTCCCCTACCTCTAG